CCGAAAAGATAACATTTACCCAAGGACGAAGCTCAGAGGGTCAGAAAAGAAGAGAAGGGAGACTTGCTATTGTTCGGCACCCTGGAGTCACAGGCAGCCTACAGGCAGCAAAATGCAAAGTCCTTGGTTCCTGGCCGTCCTCACCACTGTTCCTGGCCCAGCCCATTGTTTCAGCCAATGTGTCCATCCCTCTCATTGAGGGGCTTCCTCGTTTTCAGTCTTTGCCCTTCCTCTTTTTGGCTGTCCCTCCACTTTACCCCCCAACACCCATGATGTTCTTCTTCAGAGACTAGTCTTTCCTGACAACATTACGAAAATATGTGACAAGTCTTAGCATCCTTGCCTCTCAGGAGCACTCTGGCATTCTTTTTCCAAGATGGATCGGGTTGTCCTTCTAGCAGTCCAGGGCACTTTCAATAGTCTTCGCCAGCCCCACGACTCACACGCATCGATTCTTCTTCAGTCTTTTTATTCAGTGTCCCGCTTTCACAGACAGAGGAGGCCATCGTAAACAACATGACTTGATTCAGGGGCACCTCAGCCCTCAAAGGAACATCCTTGCTTCTCAACACTCAAAAGAGTGTTGCAGCAGATTTACCTAATGCAGTGTGTCTTTTGATCTCTTGACCGCTGCTTCCATGAGCATCGATAGTAGATCTAAGCAAGAAAAAATCCTTGACAACTTCAGCTTTTCTCCATTGATCATGTCCATTCGTAATGTAAGTTATAATGTACATGAGTTGTTCAATGTAAAACTATGATCTGCTCTGTAAACCTACATCTACTTCACAGTAAATTTTTAAAAAAATAAATCAAATAAATATCAGAAAATACAACCAAATATCTATTAAAAATTACTAGAGACCTTCAATACAATAACCAGCTACATTAGACTTCCTATAGCAAGCTAAGCACTCTCTTACCTCAGGACTTTTGCATAGGATTTTCCTTTCCAGTAGTTCTTCCCCCATAAATTATATGACTCATTGCATCACTTGCTTTGGATCCTTGAACAAAACATACCCTGTCAGACCCGAGCATCCTGTATAAAAAGTATCGCAGTTGTTCTCTAACTCCAAAATCATAGAAATCTTGAAGTTAAGAAATGTGAAAATATTGATTGTAAATGGAGACAGACATTTAGGAGTTACCCACTTATGTGTGATAAATAAAATAAACGGGTGAGACAAGATGAGGTCATTCTGGGAAAGAAAAAGAAAAAATGGGACTGAGTACAGAATCTCACAGGATGCCTCTTTGGGGAAGAAAGATACAGAAGAGAAGTCAAATGAATTAATAGAGGCCATTGGAGCCCTAAGATATTAGTTCATAATCTACAGTTTCAGGAACAGAAGATAAGCAACAGAGCTCAAATCTGCGAGGGAGGATGAACCAAATGGCAAGCAAATGGACCAGGTGGGTAGGAAGTAGCCAGGGATCTTCAAAAGACGAGTTCTGGTAAAATGGTGGGGTCCTTGCTTGCAGTACCTTGAAATACGCAGGCGATGCAGGTGCATCCCCTGAGCTTAAGGAGGAGCTCTGGTGGCATAGTGGGTTACTTTTGAGATGCTGACCGCAAGGTCACCAGCTACTCCATGGGAGAAAGATGAGGCTGTCTACTCCTATAAAGATTTTCAGTTGTGAAAAAACAAAGGAGCAGTACTAGTCTGTCTGATAGAGTCATTATGGTTTGGGATGGACTCAAAGTAGTGAATTTTGGTTTGGGAAGTGTAAAGAGACTCACTACCTAGAGTAGTGGTTCTCAACCTTCCTAATGCCGCGATCCTTTAGTACAGTTCCTCATGTTGTGGTGACCCCACAACCATAAAATTATTTTCGTTGCTACTTCATAACTGTAATTTTGTTATTGTTATGACTCAGGTGACCCCTGTGAAAGGGTTGTTCGACCCCTAAAGGGGTTGTGACCCACAGGTTGAGAACCACTGACCTAGAGTATTTGTTGAAGAAATGACCAGAAGGCAAGGTAAACTGCTAAAGTATTCTGTAGATGAGTAAATAAAGGCCCCTTCCCAATCAAGATGGCATTGTGGCTGAGGTTATGGGATGAAAAATAGTAAAACATTTTTGATGGCATAAATTGTATAAAATTATTTCACTGTTCAAAATCAGAGTTTAATGAGCGATTTTCCTTCAACAAATATACATAGTTTAATCCTATAACTAATTTTCAATTCATTCCAAGGTCTTTCATTGTCACTTTGTTTTTATTTTTGTTTTAAATGCATTCTTGGTTAATGGTGCCTTTACAAAGTTACTGCGAGGCCCCTTCTCTGTTGGAGCGGTGCCCGAGCCGAGCCAGGTTTTCTCCAGGGTGAGGGCCTCTCAGCTGGGCTCCATTGATTTTGCTTCTCAGGTATGCAACAGGCCCCTTGGATGCATGAAGAACCATGTCCTGATGTGAACTCCTACAAGGTCCAGTTGGGAAGGTCATATGATAATAAACTGAATGGAAGGTCAGAATCTACTCTCTTTTCCACCTGAAGGACCACCAAACATATATGTAAAGAAATGTTTCTTAATGTTTCTTAACTTACATGTGAAGAAAAAAAATTTTAAGTGCAATTGCTTGGTTCTTGAACCCACAGCAACTTCATTGTCACCTTAGAAAGTGTTGCCTCTCCCTGTGGTGCTCCCACTAGAGTACACATCAAAATCAGCTGGGTTTGTTGGTCCCTTTCCTGGAACCCACCCCCCACCCCACCCCCACCCCCGGTTCTGAGTCAGTAGACGTGTGGTGTGGTCAGATGATTTGCATTTCTACCATGTATTTTTGTGCTATTGAGGCTACTCGACACAACAGTGATTCTAAGACCTACTGATCTATATGACCCCAAACCAAATCCATTGCCCTTGAATTGATTGATTCCAACTCATAGTAATAGTTCTTCGCTTCCTGGTTTACTGATGTCCCTCAGAAAAAGAAAAAAGGTGAGGCAAACTCTCCTTTCAGCCAAAAAAAGAAAACTTGACATTTTAAAAACTGTAACACAGTGATGTTAGGAGTAGCTTATGTTTCGAGCCATTTGTTCATTTTTAAGCCTAAGTAATACAAGTAGTTTGTAATCAGTTGGCAGTTCAAATCCACCCAGTGTCTGGTGAACTGCTTCTGTAAGATTACAGTCAGGCGGAAACATGTACATTCTTCTAGTTCTTTAACGCTTCCTCCCCCCACTATCATGACCCCAAATCTACCTTACAAATCCGGCTAGACCAGAGCATGTACACAGGTACAGAAAAGAACTCTCGAAGCATGGAATCTAGGACAGAAAAATCCCTCAGGAACAATAACAGGAGTAGCAATGCCACGAGGATAGGGGAAGAAAGTGGGAACCAATCACAATGATCAACATATGACCGCAGCCCCCCTCCCAAGGGGGACGAACAACAGAAACATGGGTGAAGGGAGACAGCAGTTGGTGTAAGATATGAAAATAATAATAATTTATAAATTATCAAGGGTTCGTGAGGGAGGGAATAGGGGGAAGGAAGGAAAAAATGAGGAGCTGATACCAAAGATTCAAGTAGAAAGAAAATGTTTTGAAAAGGATGATGGCAACAGATGTACAAATTTGCTTGGTACAATGGATATATAGATTGTTATAAGAACTGTAAGAGCCCCCCAATAAAATGATTTTTTTAAAAAGATTACAGTCAGACAAACAATAGAAAACCCTTCTTTGTGTAACATGTGGACTGTCCTTCAGTTGGGGGCTGGTGTGAGTCAGGCTAGCAACAACAACTAAATTTTAAATGAAAGAGATTTTTATCTTAGGCGTTAATATGAGGGGAAGTCAAAAAGTATTGCTTCAGAATTATAGAAACAGTGATGGAATAAAAATCTGAACATGGGAAGCTATTATTTTTTGACATACCCCACTTCTGGGACTATCCATTTAGGAAGGCAGTGTGTTCGGCTCTCTGACCTTCCCAAGAATTCTGTGCTCTTCCATTGGCACCATGTCCAAATGGTAGGCTTGGCATACGCGAGAGCCTCGAGGATGTTCATCTTAAAGACCCGTTGACTTTGGGGAACAAAAAGAAGCCTGGAGGATCAGACCTTGGGTGGTAGGTGGATAGGGAAAGGTTTCCCAAAGAGATCCCATAGGACAGCCCTCACTACCCTGTAAAATGAGAAGATGCATTGGCATAAAGGAAATAATTTTCTTGGAGCAAATTGCCTAGCCTTTTCCTCACCACTGCAGTTTTCTACTTTCTTGAAAGTTCTTCATAATAAGCCACTATAATCATCCTGTGTTCTTCAAACACATTCCATCAATATTATCCTTTTGGAACTCCAGGAGACAGTCGCCGTAACCTTCTAAGTTAGCCTCTGGGTCTTGAACTTAACTCATCTCTCAGATGCCCTTGGAAGCCACTATTTTTATTTCAAGGAACCCTACAAAATGAAGACCAGTGTATTACTGAAAGGACTTATCTTCCACCACCCACTGAGTCAATGTTTGCTGGGGGGGGTGGGGTGTGAAAACTGGTTCATGAACTAGAAACACAATAGAAAACATTTTGACTCCTCTTCATATTTTAGTGCCTAAGACAAATAAGAGCTCAACTGGAATCATTCAGATCTAACAGTATGGTCCAGCACTGAAAAGTAATTCTCCTGAGGTTAGAAATCATCCATAAAACAAATACTTTTCCCAAAGTCTCTTAATATTTACCTACAACCAGAAAGTGGTGACCGTTAACTGAGAGAGAGAAAATATCACACTCATTTGCCATGTAGCTCCCTCTTTTTTTCCTTTTTATTTTATTTTTAAGCCAAAGGGAGTGGGGGAGACAACGCGTGGAAAAACTAAACAATCTAAAGGTAGAAGGCATCATCACATGAAATTCATTTTCTTTCATTGCTTGATTTATTTACAGAGAGAAGATGCACCGCACAGTAGTGGAAGTGAAGTGTTCTCTGAGTGTACACAGAGCAGGTGGGGCAAATCAGGTGAGTCTCGGAATGAGCTCCTTACCTGCTTTACACATCAGTAATTCCAAAGAGGTCAGAGCCACGCTGACGGAAACATTTGTAAGAACAAATGAGTATCTGAAGGGGCATCACTTTCATATTTCTGCTGATCTTCCAACTCTAAGAAATAAAGATTAAAAATAAAATTAACCAAGTGGTGTTCCATATATATTTTTGCATAAATATCAGCTTTCTTAGAGATTTGTGCACATTGATGTCTAAGATACACAATTCTATTTGTGCTTAATGTGCTCTTTGTCCACAACACAAATAAACAGACTAGCTAAGAAAGGAAAAATCACAATTATCCAAAAGTCAGAGGATAAGGTTTTTGTATATCCAAACATATTATTAATTAGTCTAAAGTATTTGGAAAGAAAGGTTTAAAATATGGCACCGAGTTGGCAGTTTCTTACAAAGCTAAGCATAGGCTTACCATATCCTCCAGTATCACATGCCTAGCTATTGACCCAAATGGGTTGGAACTTATGTCCACACACAAAAAATGACCTTGCATATAAGCATGTATAATGGTGTAGGGGCAGGTAATTAAGTTCTTCTATGCTAGCAAAAAAGACTGTGTCACTAACCCAGAGATTACACAGGAGGAAGACCTGGTTTTGCAAATTCTATTGAGTAGTTCAATTTGGTTCTATAGGATTGCTATGAGTTATGATTGACTCAAAGGCAATAGAATTTTTTTTTCAGTTAATCAAAAATTGCCCAAAAGGAAAGGAACAAAAAATGAAAAGCAAAACGGGGGAAAACAAAAGAATCAAAAAAAAAAAAAAAAAAGAATCAAACCACAAAAAGACATAATGGATAGGTGAAGGCATATGCATAGTGGAAGAAGCCAGATTGGAAAAGCTACATTCAAAAAGTATACCATAAAGTCTTCTAACACCCAAATAAGAGTTAGCTTACCTGGTAATGGATGCCTGCCTTGAATACTGTGCTCTTTCAAGATCTATCTTATGGGATCAAAGTGAGAACAGTAACCAAAGAGATTTGATAGAACATGAGGGGAAATGATACAAGCATAAAAATGACCTATGATTCTGTAAGAATCACCTGGGAATTAAACTTTAAATTCTGATCCTTTATCTGGAGTAGAAATGCAAATTCTGAGCAGGGCATCAAAGTGGAATGATCCAGTAAATGCCCTGCTTTGACTTCAGCAATCAGCAAACATTTGCTGAGTCCCCAGTTACATTTTTCCCCCACCACATATTCAGCATCGGTATCCTATTTCATTGGGACAGAAGTCCATCACTTACTTTGGGGAATCTCTCCCCCAGATTCAACACCTATGTTGAGGGTGGGGCAACTGATCCTAGTCCTCAGCTCAAACTATTCACATCCTGCTGACCATTCTGATTAGTCCAGGGGTAAGCCCATGACTCAAATCATGTCAATAGAGCCAGTGAGCATCAGCTCCATGGCTTTTCCTGAACATGTTGAAAGAGGGGAATTCTCCTTCAGCTACAGAAAGTTACAACAAGGTGGCTTTTGCATGAGAGTGAGGCCAAGATACAGAAAAATAGAACCAACTACCATAAAACGAAGAACTCTTTTTTCCCCCCAAATACATATCTTTATTATAAATTTTACTTATATGAGAGTAAGTCAAGCAGTACAAACAATGTACTCTTGATGGTAAACTTAGAACCTGTATCTAGTCATGACTAAACATGCAGACATCACAGAGTCATTTTTGCACATAAATAATCATTTTATTATGTGTATCAGATAAATCATCCTTATTACTTAACTTGTATAGGAATTGGATTTCTTTAACTTAAAATCAGAGTCCTGACCAATTAGAAGCTCCTACACCTTGCACGACATTAGACAAAATATCAATACAGAGATGACAAACAATCCTTGCTTCCAAACTCTCTGTAACATCTAGTTAGAAGACAAACAAACAAGAAATAAAAGCAACTCGCGACCAAAGACTCAGTTTAATGTCAACTTATGTGAGTGCACAGAAGGGTGTCATCATTCTTAGCTTCATTTACCGCCTTAGCAGGAATTTACAGTCTAAGGAAAAGGTAACCTGGATTGATTAGCAGGATATGGCTGTTAGAGGGAAGGTGAAAGGACATTTCAGGAAGGGTGAACTATGAGGGCCGAAAACAGGAATATACTTATTGTGTTGTGGAAATAATGCTGTATAAATAAACAGAACATAAAATGTTAAATTATGCACATCAACAGTAAGTACGGTGTTTCTAGGAATAAAAATCTGTGTTTCCTCAATCATAGTCACACTCGGTATGGCATTTACACTCGCTTCTGTATGCAATAACAATGCTTAGCTAACTGGATTAGAATGGCTAAGTCTTGAAATTGTTCTTCGAGAACAGGGCAATATCAAAAGATCACATCCAGAGATCTTTTTTCTCTCCATATAATAGACAGCCCTCTCATCTAATCAGCTCTTCCTGCCTGCTCCTGGCCATATCTCAGCTACCATAAGGACTGCGAGACGTACACCAGGCCACATGCTGTCTCTTCTGCTCCCGTTTCAAAAACTAGAACCCATAGGAGCGGGGTGGCACTGTAAAGTAAGAGAAAGAGGTTAAAGGGGAAAAGGCAAGCTTAAAACAAAGAAGCAACTGAGGTCAGACAGTAACATGATTGACTCTTGCCAATTTCTCCATAAGGTGAAAAGTTTGTAATGCAAACTATTAAAGGCATTTTCTATTTCCATTGTGGTTTCAGTCAGTTCCCCAGTGCCCGGAAGACATTGCCTGGGCAGAGTTTGAGTTGGCTCTTGTTGCCAATAGGAATGTAAAGTGACCTCCTCCCTAGGGGACGGACAACCGAGGAGTGGGTGAAGGGAGACGTCGTCGGGACAGGGCAAGATATGACAAAAGAACAATTTAAAAATTATCAAGGGCTCATGGGAGGGGAATGAGGATCTACTGCTGGGGGCTTAAGTGGAGAGGAAATGTTTTGAGAATGATGAGGGCAATGAATGTACAAATGCACTTTACACAACTGATGTATGTGTGGATTGTGATAAGAGTTGTATGAGCCCCTAATAAAATAATTTTTAAAAAAAATAGAAATGTAAAGTGTCTGCGTCCTGCCCTCCCCTTCTTAGTGGGGGTTATTGTTTAGTTAGCTAAAGTAAAGGAAATATTTTGGTTAGCTGTGGAAGACCCTACTTTACCAAAGGGCATTATCAGTTTTATATGGAATATCAAGGTTGGCTGGTAATGATTCTCTACATTATTTATTTCTACTCCTGATATAATCTTTCTTGGTGCATTGAAGATTTTCCTAAAAGTTCTACTGGGGGGAAAAATTGACCTCTGACTTTTCCATAGAGAGTCATTAAGTTTAGTCATGTTTTAGAGAGGGTAAAAATACCCTAACACCTTACTTATGAATGCATACTTAAAGTTTTCTTTCTAGTTGTGCCCTTTCCACCGTCTCTGCTGATGTGACATGCAGGTCATTTGAAATGATGAGCACATAACAGACGAGCAACCCCTCTGACGGAGGATCTGCCACGGAAACCTCACCACAAACCAAACCCACACTTCTGTCAAAAGATAGTCGCTGCTTGGGCCCTTGTTTGCAGTAAGAAAAGGAAACACTGGAAGAAATAACTTTTATTTCCAAGTCAGGAGAAAAGAAAAAGTTTGTGATTATACAGACTCCGACTTGTAAAATATCTCATTTTAGAAAAAGCTCTAAAAAGTAAAAGGCCATACAAGTCTACCTTTTCATTACTTAAAATGAAGTGCCTTGTGTGTTAAAGTAAACAAAACAAAACAAAAACTCACTGCCATTGAGTCACTGCCAACTCATGGGACTCTATACGACAGAATAAAACTGCCCCTGTGAGTTTTCAAGACTGCAATTCTCTACAAGAGCAGAAAGCCCCGTCTTTGTTCCGTCGGAGCAGCTGGTGGGTTTGACCTACTGGCCTTGCAGTTAGTAGCACCAGTGTAAGCTGCGCCACTGCCCCTCTACATAAGTAGAGGACTACATCCTCTCCCTATTTTAGAGTAGTGTCCACTTTAAATTTAAATATACATGTTTGCTAATTTTCACATCTGCTGAATGGGAAAACTAAAGAGACAGTTTATAAAAAAATCAGTCAGTAAATGCCTCTGGAATACTCATTGCCTTATTTTAAATCTCGAGGAAGCAGAAGTTATCGAATATGTTTTCATAGCACAGGGCACAAAGTAAAATCTTTAGAACAAGGTTTCAATATTGCATGAAGTACAATGGATAGAAAAAAGAATAAGATGGATTCCTGTTTGCTCAGGAAAAGATCTTGTGGGACCCAGACTGAAGCTCTCACCCAAAGATGTCCATGTCCTCACCCCAGAACCTTTGGTTAGGTGAACATGACAAAATATTTCACCAATTTAGTAAATTTATTTCTCTTGTGATAGGAGACTCTCCTGGATTATTCAAGAGGACCAAATATAATCATAAGGGTTATTAAAAGTGTATGCTCCATGGCCTCCACTCAAGTACTCCCTCAATGCAAGAATACTTTCTTCTATTAAATTGGCATTCTGTGATGCTCACCTTCCTGACACAACCGCTGAAGACAAAATGGGTGAATAAGCAAATGTGGTGAAGAAAGCGATGGTGCCCGGCTATCAAAAGATATAGTGTCTGGGGTCTAAAAAGCTTGAAGGTAAACAAGTGGAAATCTAGCTCAGAAGCAACAAAACCCACATGGAAGAACATATCAGCCTGTGTGATCACGAGGTGTCGAAGGGATCACTGAAGACAAATGGGTGCATAAGCAAATGTGCAGAAGAAAGCTGATGGTGCCCGGCTATCAAAAAGTATAGCGTCTGGGGTCTTAAAGGCTTGAAGGTAATCAAGCGGCCATCAAGCTCAGAAGCAACAAAGCCCACATGGAAGAAGCACACCAGCCTATGCAATCACGAGGTGTCGAAGGGATCAGGTATAAGACATCATCAGAACAAAAAATCTTACCATAGTGAATGATGGGGGGAGTGTGGAGTGGAGACCCAAAGCCCATTAGTAGGCCACTGGAGATCCCCTTGCAGAGGGGTCTCGGGGAGGAAACAAGCCAGTCAATGTGCAATGTAGCAACAATGAAAAATACAACTTTC